GCGAATGCCCTGGAACTTTTCAGCTATGAGACCATGCCTGCGGTTGGAAAAAAATTATGACTTCCATACATTTTCTGAACCCCTGAACTGATCTGGGTGATTTTTGGATATGTTGGTCACTTAGATCAGGGCTATCAGGGGATGTAACTTTTATGGGGATTTTATGTGTTTTAAGGTATTTGGGGGGTTTTGTAAAAATGTGTGATTTTTTGTGTTTGGAGATAATTGAGTTTAACTCCTTAAGGACCCAACTTCTGGAATTAAAGGGAATCATGACATGTCAAACATGTCATGTGTCCTTAAGGGGTTAGTATAGTGCTTGACTCAAATATCTCCTAAGTAAAGGGAAAGGCTTATTGTGTTGTATGTTCGAGTGAAATGCATTATAACTCTGTTATTATTGGTTTGTAAGTTTGTGTCCCTGTCCCCAACAAAATCCATGTGGGCCTGTCATAAAAGGCCAGTGTGGCTACCATTCCTGCTTAACCCTCAACACGTAGCCTTGTCTCATGATTGTAGGGAACCGCTATACAGCTATACCACTAGCTCTTATAAGAGCTTCACAGCTATACTCTCTTGGAGGAGAGGCCTTCCCACTGAGTCCCTGGATCCAGGAGTTTGATCCAGGGTGGGAAAGGACGGCGAGACCCCAACTGAGTTGCGGCTGTTCGTGGGGTATATGGTGCGTATGGTGTACGGTGCTGTGCTTATGGTCCTCAGCATCAGCTAGGAAGCATTGATTGGCAGAAGTACCCAGTCGGGGTGCCAGGTGGTCCATCACAGAATCCATTCAGTTTTTTTCTAACTTTGAAGTTTTATGCTGTGTCCATGTTCCATTTTGGAGTAGTCTAGTCGATTTGTTATTCAAACTACCCCACAAACGCATACCATTTTTTAAATAATACACCCTAGGGTATTTCAAAAGGCATATTTTGAACCTTAGCATGGGATTATTTTTTCGCTAGTTTCTTCCAGGTGCAGTTGTAATGAGCATTCTTTTTTTGTATTTTTTTACTCTTTTAAACTTTTTTTTACTTTTTGAAACAGTTTTTAAACTTTTTTACTTATTACATTTTTTTACTGTTTAAAACTTTCTAAAAACTTTTTTTTACACTTTTAAATTGTTTAGAATCTTTTTTTTACTGTTAATTCCTAACTAGCAGTAAGCAGCACAAACAGTAAATCCCCCAATTTCCCATAACTCCCACTCTTTCCAGCTAGCAAAATATATAATTTTTAAATATTTAAATTCATTGATTAAATAAATTGAACCCCTGAGGGTAAAAAAAACAAAAACCCTCAGGGGTTAAAAGAAAAAACAGATCACAGTATAATACTGTGATCTGTATTTTGATCACTGTAGGCTGTGATCAACTGGCAGGGAAGGGGTTAATTTTTATTAGGACTGGGTAAAGGGGTTATGAGTTTTTAAAAAAATGTTATGTTATTTTTAAATACTTTTTTTAATGTTAACCTCTAGCTAGCATAACACCAAATTCTCCAATTTGCCACTAACATCCACCCACCCCAGCTAGCTAAATATATAATTTTTAAATATTTATTTTTATTAATAAAATAAATGCAACCCCTGTAGGTTATAAAAATTATAAAAGTTAACCCTCAGGGGTTAAACAAATATATCAGATCACAGTAAAATGTAGTCCCTGCCAACTGATCACTGTAGTCAATGATCAATTGCCAGGGAAGGGGTTAATTTTATTAAAGCAGGGGAAAGGTGGGGTGGGATTTTACTTTAACTTTTCTATTTTGTGTGTGTGCCAGCTGTCTGGTGTCAAGCCTTGGTGTCATGCTATGGCATCAGCAATGTTTTGGGGTGTGTGGATGGGGTTGTCCTGTATTTGTGGGATTGAGGCTGGTTGCAAGTAGTAGGCAGACATTATTTCTCATGTTGGTTGGAATGTTTGTTTCTGGGCATGTGATAGCAGGGACAGACGTTCATATGTGAGATATTGATGTAGTTTGTCCAGCAATTGTCGTTTGTTAGGACGTGATGCCTGCTACCAGTTATCTGCTATTAAATTTCTAGCAGTAAGCATGGTTAGCACTGCCAGTTGTCTATGTGTTTTAGTGAGGGTGTGAGGGAGCAGGGAAAATAGACAAGTGGTTGGGTTAAGCTGCATACCTGTGACATTCAGGTTCCTGAGAACATTCTTCACATCATCCCACAAGGGTTTGATGATGTGGAAGTCCCACCATATGTGTATCGTTCTCTCTGTCCTCCCACACCTCCAGCAGAACGCCGGTATATGTGGAGTTTGCTAGTTTGCTTCTACATGGGAGCAGTAGTTAGTGTAAGTGAGTTGATCGCTCAAAGAGGAAATGGTTCAGCAGGGTACGGTAACACAGTGACAAAGATTTAGGCATCTCTTATAAATAGGGTTCATGAGTTGAGGCCTGGTATGAGCCAGCTCTGTCGGTGTTAGCAGGGGCGGACTGAGAACCCTCAGGGCCCCCGGGCAAAATAAATCAAGGGCCCCCTTACAGGCCCCACCCATACTCTGAAGCAAGCGCCACCCTTGTCCCGCCTCCATGCACCGCCTCCAGCCACACCCTACACAATCTTTAGACACAAGGAACAAAAGGGCAATAAGCCCTTCGAGGCCCCAGCAGAGACTACAATTGAGGGCTAATGGGCCATGGAGGGGGGTCTTTCTAGCGGAGGCTATCTCAGTGTCCTTTAGAGAGTGTGTTAGAAAGAATCCCCTCAAGGCCCCATTAGAGACTACAATGGAGTCTAATAGGCTTGGAAGGGGGTCTTTCTAACAGAGGCCATCTCAGCGTCCATTAGATATCCCCTGCTGGAAACAGTCGCTTCCAGGCCCCAGTAGAGACTACAATTGAGGGCTAATGGGCCATGGAGGGGATTTCTAGCAGAGGCTATCTCAGTGTCCTTTAGAGAGTGTGTTAGAAAGAATCTCCTCCAGGCCCCATTAGAGACTACAATGGAGTCTAATGGGGCCTGGAGGGTGGTCTCTCCAACACTCTGGTTCCTATTCACAATATAGCAACACAACATAGCTCACTGATACCTAGGCCAAGTTGGCTCCTCTTACCTTAATTACTGTTGCTGGCTGGCAGTCTGTGGCTTGCTGGCTTGACTGGCAGGCTGTGGGCTTTCTGGCTGTAAGCCTGTGGCTTGCTGTAGGCCTGTAGGCTGGCTACTGGCCTGTGGGCTGGCTAACTGGCTGGCTACTGGCCAGCCTGTGGGTTGGCTGGCTGGCTACTGGGGCACTTGTAGATTATTTAAATAAATAATCCATGCACAATAACCACTACTGCTCCAGAGTAAGTAGTCAAACCATTTAAGAACAGTTTGACAACTTACCTGGGATCTGCTGGGATATGGGGCTGTAGTAGGGAATAGGAGCAGTGGTGCAATGTGTGTGAAAGGTTCAGTGTGTGTGGGGGGTGTAGTGTGTGAATGTGTAGGGTGTGTGGGCTGTGTATGTGTGTGGCAATGTTAGTATGGGGGGCTGTGTATGGGGGTCTATGTGTATATGGGCAGGGCCGGTGCAAGGATTTTTGCCGCCCTAGGCAAAAGTAAAGTTTGCCGCCCCCCCCCGTGACATCACAATGCCCCACCCATATGACCTGCCATGTTAACTAACGCTAGTGCTGCAGTGCTGCAGTGCCGCTGTGTTTACATTAAAAGGCCTGCAGGGACAGGCTATAGACACCAGGACCACTACATTAAGCTGCAGTGGTTCTGGGGACTATAGTGTTTCTTTAATGTGAGGTAAATTAGAGATTAGTGCCACGAATAATATACTAGATTACCTACTTACAGGCAGATGAGGATGATGATGGGCTCTAGCTGCAGTCTGGCTCCACTGGTCTGGTGTATAATACGATCTCTGGAGGCTGTTGTAACTGTGGTCACAAAAATCAATGTTCTGGGAGAAAGAGAAGCAGCTCCATTTTTTGGGGGCCCTTTACACAGCTCAAGGTCTGGGTCCCAGGGTGCACCTTCATGTTCCACCAATGAGTTTGTTCACAGGGGGTGGAGTGTGTAGGGGATGTCCTGATTTGTGTGTAAGGAATGCATTGTGTGAATCTGTGTTTGTATGTGTTAGGGCTGCAAGGTGTGTTTCTGTGTATGTAAGGGATGAAGTGTGTGAGTCTGTAAGGGGTCCATTGAGTGTGTGTAAGGAATGCATTGTGTGTTTCTGTGTGTAAGTGATGCATTGTGTGTGTGTGTGTGTGTGTGTGTAATGCATTGTGTGTTTTTCTGTGTGCAAGGGGTTCATTGTCTTTGTGTGTAAGGGGTGCATTGTGTGTGATTGTGTGTGTGTGTGATGGATGTCAATCTCTCCCCCCTCCCTTGTCACTCTCTTCTCCCCCCCTCCCTTGTTACTCTCATTCCCCCTCCCTCCCCTGTCACTCCCCCCTCCCTGTCAATTTCTCTCTCCCCGTCAATTCCCCTCCCTGTTAGTTTCTTTCCCCCACCTCCCTGTTAGTTTCTTCCCCCCCTGTTAGTTTGTTTCCCCCCACCTCCCTGTTAGTTTCTTTCTCCCCCCTCCCCTGTCAGTTTCTTTTCCATGCTACTACAGAGGGAGCTGACAGGAGGGAGCGCTCAGCGTTTCCCTCCTGTCAGGCTGCGCCCGGGCGGTGCGGTCCGCCCTCATGGACGCACCGCCCGGGCAAAGCTGCAGCCGCCTGAGGCTCTTTACAGAGCGCTCGGGCGGCTGCAGCATGAGCGGGGCCGGCGCTCCTGGCGGCGCCCCCTCCCAAGGGGCGCCATAGGCGGCTGCCTAGTCCGCCTAACAGGTAGCGCCGGCCCTGTATATGGGTGGGCAGTGTATGTGTGTGTGTGAGGCAATGTGTTTAAATGTGTATGGTGTGTATGGGGGCAGTGTGTGAATGTGTATGGTGTGTGTGTGGGGGCAGTGTGTTTATGGGGCTAGAGTTCACTCTCACCACTGCGACCACCAGGAATCCCTGGGGGTCACAGTGTTGAGAGTGAACACTAGACCGTAGCTCCAGGGCTAGAGTTGACTCTCGCAAGAGCGGTAACGTTGCCATGGTAATCGCGGCAACGCTCTGTGCTCGTGCAAGAAGGACCCAGAGGAGCTGCAGGGTGAGCTCCCAGGTCCTCTCTTCCTTCCTCCCCTGCCCACACGGTGCCTGCGGACAGGGGAGGGGGAGCAATTGCCCTGTTGCCCCCCTGGATCCACCAGTGATATATACAGCCCTTCTGTGTGCCTTTTTGTCTCCCCCGTCCCTCTGTATGTTTCTTTCTCCCCCCTCCTTCCCAGTCTCTCTTACCCCTCTGCCTCTTTCTCCCTCTCTTCCACTGTTTTTCTCCCCCCTTTCCCTGTCTCTCTCTCTCTCCCCCACACTCTCTTCCTCTCTGTCTCTTTCTCCCCCTCCCCATCTCTTTCTCCCCCTGTGTCTCTTTCTCCCCCTCCCTATCTCTCTATTACCCCTCTTTCTCCCCGTGTCTCATTCTTCCCTCTCTGTCTGTCTCCCCCCTCCCCATATCTCTGTTCCCCCCTCTTTCCATATCTCTGTTCCCCCCTCTTTCTCCCCCCTCCCCATATCTCTGTTCCCCCCTCTTTCTCCCCTCTCCCCATATCTCTGTTCCCCCCTCTTTCTCCCCTCTCCCCATATCTCTGTTCCCCCCTTCTCCCTCTCCCATATCTCTGTTTCCCCCTCTTTCTCCCCTCTCCCCATATCTCTGTTTCCCCCCTTTCTCCCCATATCTCTCCCTCCCTCTCCCCATCTCTTTCCACCCTCTTTCTCCCCCTCCCCATCCTCTCTATTGCCCCCTCTTCCCCCCTCCCCATCTCTCTATTGCCCCCTCTTTCTCCCCCCTCCCCATATCTCTATCCCCCCCCCTTACTCAAGTCTGAGGGGGCCGGCCGTTTCATGCTGCAGCCGCCGGTACGGCGGCATTCCTCTCACTAAAGCTGAAGAAGAAGGAGGAGGAGCATGTGTCTGTCATGCTCCCTGCGGTTCCCACAATTCCCAGCACAGGGAAGGCTCCTCCTCCTTCTTCATCGTCAGTGAGAGGAATGCCGCCGGACTGGCGAGGCTGCCACCCGGTCCGGCGGCTGCAGCATGAAATGCGGCCGCCCCCCTCACAGTGTGCCACCGGGCCGGCCACCCGGTGGCACCTTCCGCTTAAGTCCCCAAATGCCGCCCCCAATCCAGCCCTGCCGCCGGGCCCCCTGAAGGCGGCCCTGGGTGTTAGTACATGTGAAATGAGAATGCTTTTAAGTTGTAAGTATTGCAAGACTAAGGAGTTGGGTAGGTTGTATTTTTGTTGGAGTTCTGGAAAGGGTAAGGTTTTATGGTGTTTGCATAAATCCTCTATGGAACAGATGCCCCTTTTGTGCCAAGATTTGAATGCTAACCATGGGGAATGTGTGGTCAGGGTTGTCAGTGGTGCGAGGAGGTAAAACTTTTTGTGAAGTGATTCATTACGTCTTAATGAGTCCCATTGTTGGAGTGTGAGGTTGGTTATGGGAGCAATTGGGTTGAGGCTTGGCAAAGTGATTTAGGTGTCCAAAGGATAGGTATTAGGGAACCTCCCGGGGTCCGCTTGTTTTCCATGTCAACCAATTGAAAGGTTCCTTTTTTGAACTGAAGTTTTATCGTAGCCTTTAATAAGGAGGCTTTGAGGAAAGAGATTAAGTTGGGGAAACCAACTCCTCCCTGGCAGGTACGCTTTTGGAGAGGGCTACCGATATACCCACAACAAAGATGTTAGGATAGATTGTTGATGCTCATACAATGTAGGTGTAATGTGTATGGGTAACAAAAAAAAAACAGGGCGCAAGAGAATACTGAGAACGGGCTGCAGCTGAAATAGCCTGCCCTTCGGTGGGTCCCCGATCACATCTCAAGCTGGTTTTAGCTCATCTTGTGGCATTACAGAAAGAATATCTCTGAAACATATCAGACTGGTTCTTATCAGTCCAGATCAGAAATGCCAGCAAGTTAGCCCAAGTAGTGATAGATACATACACCATTATATATATACATATTGCAATATTGTTTATAAAATAAAGGAAAGATGCTCCTTGCATCTTACTTAAGACCGCTCTCTGCCACTGCTGATAAACTGTCTGTTCCCATGGAGAGAATGACGACCGCTCGCAAAATGCCGAATGCACCCTTCATGGTGTTGCATGAACAAAGTATTTGACATTCGAACACTATTGTTGTTCGGAAGCCGAATACAACATTTGTCCTGTTCGAAACTTAAGGGCTTCTGTCAGCTTTCTATGGATGCGGTATGTGGTGGAGAAGGAGGAGGCAAATGGCTGCAAGCTGAAGCTCTGGTGAGCTGTGGCTGGGAAGAACCGGCAAAGCTGCAGGCTGTAGTGTCTGTGCTGGCCTGGCATCGCGGACTGGGTTAGTCTTGGGGTACATTTTAATTAAACATTAGCAGTCTGATTTTTACATTAGTTAGAACGCTACCATTAGAACACAATGTGAATGATTACGTGCATAGGTGTGTGTGCTACTGAATACATGAGACTGTGACTGCGAGTAGTTATATTTACAGTATTTATGTATGTAAATAATTATGTGTTTTAAGTTTATATTATTATTATTATTATTATTATGATATTTATAGAGCGCCGTCAAATTCCGCAGCGCTTCACAATGGGTGGATGAACAGACATGTAGTTGTAACCAGACAAGTTGGACACACAGGAACAGAGGGGTTGAGGGCCCTGCTCAATGAGCTTACATGCTAGAGGGAGTGGGGTAAAATGACACAAAAAGGTAAGGATAGTATGAGACTAGTGACAGTTGCAGAAGAGGAATCAGTCAGGAGCTATTAACAGTTTAATTGATACGCTTTTATGAAGAAGTGGGTTTTTAACGATTTTTTGAAGGAGTGGAGACTGAGTGAGCATCTAACGGAGGAGGGAAGCGAGTTCCACAGGAACGGTGCAGCCCTCGAGAAATCTTGAAGGCGAGCATCAGAGGTGGGAGTACGGACAGAAGATAGGCGTAAGTCTTCAGTAGATCGTAAGGGCCTAGACGGGACATACTTGTGTATAAGGGAGGATAGATAGGTGGGAGCAGCATTATGTAGAGATTTGAAAGCAAGAACCAGAATTTTAAATTGAGCTCTATATTTTATAGGAAGCCAATGTAGGGACTGACAGAAGGGTGATGCATTGGAGGTGCGGGCGGACAGGAAGATGAGCCTCGTCGCCGCATTCATTATGGACTGTAACGGCGCAAGTTGGGAGCACGTAGTCGCACCTGGCGTTAAGTAGGATGCGCGCAATGTTTTTGAGATGGAAATGACAGGATTTGGCGATACATTGAACATGAGGCTTTAAGGAGAGGTCGGAGTCAAAGAGAACACCTAGGCAGTCAGCCTGCGTGGTTGAGCTGATGGTAGCACCATTGACTTGGAGGGAGACAGACACAGGAGTAACAACACTTGAGGGAGAAAAGACCAGAATTTCAGTTTTGGTCAAGTTTAGTTTAAGGAAGTGGGCAGCCATCCAGTTAGAAACAGCAGAGAGGCAGTGAGAGACACTAGTCAAGTGGGATGGGGAGAGATCAGGAGAGGACAGGTAGATTTGCGTGTCATCCGCATAGAAATGATATTGGAAGCCAAAGGAGCTAATGAGTTTACCAAGGGAGGCAGTATAGATGGAGAACAGTAGGGGACCAAGGACTGAACCTTGGGGGACACCAACAGAGAGGAGTTGGGGAGAAGAAGCAGAGCCAGAGAAAGAAACACTGAAAGAGCGATTGGTGAGGTAGGAGGAGCACCAGGAGAGAGCAATATCTTGTAGACCAATATTGCGGAGGATGAAAAGAAGCTGTTGATGATCAACAGTGTCAAAAGCCGCAGACAGGTCAAGGAGACTTAGGATAGAGTAGTGACCATGAGCTTTTGCAGCGAGTAGATCATTGGATACTTTGGTCAGTGCTGTTTCCACAGAGTGCTTAGCACGGAAACCAGACTGAAGCAGGTCTAGCAGAGAGTTGGACTTGAGGAAGTCTGTCAATCTCGCATACACAATTTTTTCAAGGATCTTGGATGCAAAAGGCAGTAGCGAATTAGGACGATAGTTGGATGGGAAGTTAGGGTCAAGATTGGGCTTCTTTAGAATTGGGGTTACAGTTGCATGTTTGAAGGGCAATGGAAATATACCAGAGGAGAGAGAGAGATTGAGAATTTTAGTGAGAGGTGGAGAAGAGAAGAAGACAGAGTACGGATGAGATGCGAGGGAATTGGATCTAGGGAGCAGGTGGTGGGGCGGGAGGACTGGAGCAGAGCAGAAACCTCTTCCAATGTAGCGGGTGCAAATGAACATAGAACAGCAGAGGGAGTGAAGTTAGGGGAAGTATTGTAAGGGGAAGAAGAAAGATGAGAGATCTTTTCTCTGATTGTAGAGATCTTGTCAGTGAAGTGAGTTGCAAAGTCTGAGGCGGTCAAGTTAGTAGGTGGAGGAGAAACAGCAGGGCAAAGAAGAGAGTTCAATGTGTGAAATAATCGTTTGGGTACGCAGGAGAGTGTGGTTATAAGGGTATTGAAGTAATTAACTTTAGCAGAGGAAAGAGCCAAGCTGTATGAGCTCAGCATAATAATTTTTTTTTCTTTTTCATTTGTCTATTTTTTATTGGGTTTTTTTTTCAGCACATCATGAGATTGATAATGGGATACAGAAGAGAAAAGGGGAAATAAGGAAGGTATAACACCCAATTAGGGGGTGGAGGGGGGAACGTGCTCGAACAATATATAGTCCACATCATTGAGATCACAGTACATTACATGGATGAGTATGGTAGCCACATACATGGGTCACGATGTACATTAACTTTCATGAGTCACTATCAGTTTCCTTTTTCAATCGCAATTGGTGTCACAATATATCAGTTAGCCTATCTACTTGCACCCTACGTGAGGGCCTAGCTCCTCTCCCTTAGGAGACTTAGTTTTTGTAAGTCACTTTAGTGTATACCGTCCATAGTGGTGTGCAGTATATGGTTGTCGCTATGTCTAAACATTTGTTGGGAGATTGTGTTGTACCCTGTGGTGTGTGGTATTTGAGAGTCAACCTACGCTCGTTATGTCAGCTGCTCCAAGCGTATTATGACCAGCTTGTATGATCCCTTTGTGTGAGCTACATCATTAAGTAGTCGTCATCTGGGGGTGGGGTACACGGGAGAAATAAAAGGTCCCCTGGGGGATAATTCGGTTCACAGTATCGCCTCTCTCTCCTTTTATGTAGGTT